TACTTTCTTAGAATCTCAACTACATGGACTGCATTGTGAGTGTTAGCTGAACAGAATATAAAAGAGTCATCTGCGAAAAATAAGTGAGTTAAGCTCGGTCCACGTCTATTTAACTTTAAACCTTGAATTTCATTTTGAGTTTCAGAAATCTTCAACAAAGTAGAGAAACCTTCTGCACATATTAAAAATAATTAAGGTGATAGCGGATCTCCTTGTCGTATTCCTCTAGTCGGCCTAACCGATCCAACTACCTCCCCATTTATATTAAAACTATTGGTAGGGGTCGAAATACATTGCATAATCCATTCTACAAATCTGGCATGAAAACCCATTTGCAAAAGCATTTTCTGGATATATATCCATTCAACTCTGTCATATGCTTTTGTCATATCCAATTTCATCGCCATAAATTTCTCTCTACCTCTGCGTTTATTTTTTAGAAGATGCATAAATTCATGTGCTAAGATAACATCAGTTATTTGTCTATGTCCAATGAAAGCTGCTTGAGTTGGAGATATAACCTTAGTTAAAAGAGTTTTCATTCTCGTAGAAAGAATTTTTGCAATAATTTTATAAAGAGTAGAACATAAACTTATGGGTCTAAATTGCGATACCAAAGTAGGGCTTTTAACTTTAGGTATTAGAGTGATTAAAGTATGGTTCCACGAAGGAATTAGGTAACCTGTAGTGAAGAAGCTATCAATAGCTTCATAAATCTCCTTTGATATAATATTCTAATATCTTTGAAAAAATAAAGGAGTCATTACATCCACACCTGGCGCTTTAAGAGGATGCATAGCGAACACCGCATTCTTTACTTCCTCTTCACTAATATCTTTTATGAGTTCTCGATTTATAGAGTCACTAATCGTTATATTGACATAATTTAGAATACATTCGAAATTTGTCGGGTTAGATGTAGAGAATAGTGTATCATAATAAGCCTCAACTTCTTGAACTATTTCAGTTTTGTCACTCACCCACCTCCCTTCAGATGTTTGAAAACCCCTAATTATATTTCTTCTTATTCTTTGTAAGGTTTCCATGTGAAAATAGGAGGTATTCTTATCGCCATCCAGCAACCATAAGGCTCTAGACTTTTGTTTCCAGAAAATCTCTTCTTCTTTATAAGCTTGGCTTAATTCCCTTTTTAACAACCTAAGTTTATTCCAATCAAAATTATTAGCATCACTTCTAAGGTTTGTAATCTGTTTCCTAATACGAATAATTTTCTTTCTAGCATTACCATTTCCTCCCCTTACCCAAGCCACTAAGGATCTACGACACTTCTTTATTTTAAAGTTAACTCGAGATTGCTCGAACCCAAAATAGTCATTGGACCAAACTTCAGATACAATATTATAAACCTCATCCCGATCAACCCATCTTTTATCAAAGTAAAAACATCTTTTCTTCTTAATTTGTCCAGCATGTAAAGACAAAATTAACAAGGAATAATCAGAAGCCTCAGTATCAAGGTAAGTCAAATTAGCCTCTTCAAACTTTATTTTCCAATTAGGGGAGACTAAGACCCTATCTAACCTTTTCCGAATAATATCCTCATTTTCTCTATAGAACCACCAGGTCCAAGGTTGTCCTGTGTAACCCAAATCAATTGCACCTAAGTTCCAAATAAAATCCTTAAAGTCTCTAAAGGTCCAATGATCTCTAGTTCTTCCTCTTTGTTTTTCTGAATCATCAAGAATATCATTAAAATCACCAGCTAAGACCCAGAATGTTCCCCAGTATGAAGATTTTTTAATTAATTCTTGCATTTGAGATCGATGATTAATTCTATCCGTACTTAGATACACAAAGATACACCAATATTGGCAATCAGATAAAACATCATGTATCAAAGTTTTAACATAAAAAGAAGAAGTGTGATATTGGCAGACCCGGACGTTGTCATTCCAGAATAAGGCTAGTCCACCTGATAAACCCATTGGTTCCACAGTAATAGCATGTGCCATATCCAGTTTTCTCTGAACTCTCTGCACTATTCTATCTCTATTTTTTATTTCACTTAAGAAAATTATATTTGGGGAGTGGAGACGCGCTGTCTACTTCAAAAAGGCAACTGCTAAGGACCCCCCAGGCCTCTACAATTCCACACTAAAGCTTTCATTGCATGGAGGGAAGCCATTTAGGGCTGGCCTCCCGGTCCACCACTTGTTTCTGTTTTTTAACTTCCATTTCAGCATCAAAATTAGTTTGTTCTTTTCTTTTGTCCCCCGCCGTATGCATATTGTCCTCTAGCACAGCAACCTCAATAAGATGATTTTCATTCAAACCTACCAAAGTATTTTCCTTAACATCCTCAGAACGACCCTTAATATTAGCCTTTCGTTTCCATTGTTTTCTCTTAACATCCCCTGTATTCTTATTAGTAATACCACTAACATTTAAAAAGTTTTGTTTTGAATTATCGATTAGTTGAGAATTATTTACGTTGTCTATGTTATCCTGCAATTCCTTCATTTTTTGGTTGCCATCATCCTGCATTTGTGAGGCAACTTGCAATAAACTTTGTTGTAGCTCTATTGTGTCATTCAACATATTGTCATCTGCTGGCATCTTCCCCTGCACCTCTATCTTCTCCAAGCCAATATTCAAACCTCGCATTGAGGTAGTTGTAATACCATCAGAAGTTCCAGCCCGGGTGTTATTCCAAACTTCGACACCCTCTTTCTCTCTAGATCCATAATTTGTTGCTTCCATGGGCTGCATTTGGTCTCTCTGAAGATCCTCTTTTCTTATGTCAGGCTGCATTTCAACCAAGGTAGTACCCTATGCTAAAGTTAGCAGACTTCTACTATTTCCTGCACCTCCTTTTCCCTCAACCAGTTCAAAGTTATGATTTTTCACCCTAGTATACCCATCGTTATTAGTATGTACACCTTGACGTCGCTGATTATCTGAAGCTAGTAAAGGATTCTCCGCTCGTAACCATGTCCCAAACTGGTCACTTTAGGGGTTTCCTAATCTTATATCCTTCTCTCTTTGTACACAAGTTCTATCATTGTGTCCTAGCATACCACAGTAGTAGCAAACATAAGGTAGGTTTTCGTATCTTATTTCAACCCAGGTTGTTTCCAAGCCTAACTTGATCAATTTTCCCCTAGGTAGTGGTCTGCTAATGTTCATCGTGACTTTAATCCGCATATATCGCCCCTCTTTGCTTCCATTGTCTGGGATTACAATATCAACGGTACCTCCCAAAGCCTGCCCTATTTCGTGCCCAACATCCTTTGACAACCAATATAATGGGATATTCCAAACTTGAACCCACATATTACAAATATTAAACACCTGGGAATCACTCTTCAAACCTGGTTCCAAAGGATGGACATTAAGAAGGTATTTGTCATACAACCATGGTGTAGCAAACCATATTTTATGCCTACTTTCTTTATCTTTGAAAATAAATTGAAAAATCTCTTCAAAAAAAAGAAACATAATTAATCTGATCACCCCGTAAGATGTGAAAATTCTAATTGATGGAAAATCATATCAAATTTTTTGAGAAGTCTTAATAACTAAGACTAACACTTCAACAAATAAAATCTATTTCGTCAGCCTCAAACCATTTAGAATTAACTACTCCCTCCGTCCACTTTTACTTGTCCGCTATACTAAATATATATTTTTACTTTTACTTGTCCACTATACTAAATCAAGAGGAAGACAATATTTTCTTTTCTTCATGTTTTACACTTATCATTAACTACTCATTTCCCAAATCATTTTTCAAGACTTTTGAAAATGCTATCAGTATTATGGGTAAATTTGTAAAATACATATTTTATTTATTATTTCTTAAAGGGCTTGAAAAGTTCAAAATCGACCACTAAAATTGAACAGAGGAAGTAATTAACACTCAAAAAGATTATTGCAACATCACAACTCCAACACCAATCTTTTTACCAGTATTATTAAGGGGTTGCCCGTTTAGATGGATTAGGAGACATCTTTTTAGAATAAAGTTCCATTTAAAATAGCGAAAGGTCTGATTGGAATGAGACTGAATCCATTCGATTTCTAAAAAGGATTACTAATCCTTAACTTTTATTGGAAAAACAAAATATAAAGAGCAACCTGACTGTCACAAATAAAATAGAATAAGAGAATAATTGTATATAGCCATTTAACTTTACAACCAGATTAACCGTATCACCTTCATCAATAACTTTCCTCGATGCCATGTATTATGCCTCATCAGCTAAGATGGAAATAGTTGGTTATTTTTAGGAATTCTAAGAAACATGAGAGCTTCCAAAACAACATAATACTCTATGATCGATCTGTTGGAATCGAAGATTCACAAATTTCATAACTTAATGGTGATTCCATGAAGAATTGGAAAGCAAAGGAAGCTGAAATTGGCAAGACCGACACAAACGAGGTGAATGTCTTCTGTCCAAACAAAGCAGTTGTATAAGAGATTTGGATTTGGACTCTTTTCACAATTGGGCTCCAGTGTATTTTGGGCTCAAAGTGCTTATGCTGCTGATTGTTGATCTATTTTTTATTGGGCCCAAATTCGTTTGAAGCCTCTTGGGCCTGCTATAGAAGAAGACAAGAGAACGTGTACAGATTTCTTGTTTCTTGTAGATAAATTATTCTTTCTGTCTCTATCCAATAAGTTAGTTATAGAATAGCTAATAGTCATAGGCCAAGTGGCATAGTTAGTTACTGAAAGATTCTTTTTATTTACATATAAGGACAAGTTCAGTACAGATTTCATCATAAAAAAATATACAGAAAATTCTCTCAATTACATCTTCATTCTCTTATTCTTCTAACATGGTATCAGAGCTTTAAGTGCTCGATCCTTCTTCAATCCATTTTTTTTTCATATCCTAATCAACCATGGGAGACCAAGTCGAGCTCCCTTCAGCATCTGTCACAACAACCAGCTCTCCTCAGATGGCAACAGTTGTTTCTGCACTTCTTGACTCCTCACATCCCTTTTACCTCCACCCTTCTGATTCACCGGAATGCTTCTTGTTAACACTCCTTTTGATGGAAGAGGATATGGGGGTTGGAGAAGGGGAATGCTCATAGCTTTGTCTGCTAAGAACACAGTAGGACTCATTGATGGAATATTTCTTCAGCCCAAAATCTCTTCTGATGACTTCAAGTCTTGGACCCGTTGTAATGACATGGTCATTTCTTGGTTATTAAACTCTCTTTCCAAAGCAATAGCAGAGAGTGTTCTGTACACCAAGACCGCCAAGGAAATCTTGGATGAGCTTGAAGAAAGGTTTGGTCAGAGTAGTGGACCACAACTTTATCACCTACAAAAGGAGATCAGTGAGTCAACACAAGGAAATTTGGACATAGCAGGATACTATACTAAGCTGAAAAAGTTGTGGGATGAATTGGACAGTCTGGATGTATGCCAACACTGTACCTGTGACTGCAGTTGTGGTGGTAAACTCAAAAACTACAAATCTCAACAGGATAGCAGACTCATTCAGTTCCTTATGGGACTGAATGACACTTATGCAGCAGCTAGAAGCAATCTACTTCTGCTATCTCTTTTGCCTTCACTGAGTCATGCCTACTCCTTGCTTATCAGGGATGAGAAGCAAAGAGAAGTACATATCTCTCATCATCCAGCTGAAAGTGCCTTTGTTGCAGCTCAACGGTCCTATGGAGGACAAAAAGTCACACCTGCTAAGAAGTTCAACATGGAAACAAAGAAGGGAACTAAGTTTTGCAACTATTGCAAGAAGCAAAATCATACCATTGAAAACTGTTATAGATTGATTGGTTTTACCTCAGATTTTAAGTTTACCATATCCAAAAGATTCAATGAGCACAGAGCAATGCAGCAGTTTCCATGGAAACATCAGATACTCAGCCAAATAGTGCAGGAGACCAACCCATGACACAAGATCAATTTCACAACCTTTACCAGTTGCTTCAACAAGTGAAAGTTGGTTCTCAAATTGAGAAGACAGATGAGGAGACAGTGTCAGCTAATTGTGCTGGTATACCTCATTCCTCTTCCCTTTCCAAAACGCATATCAGTGTTTCTCTTCAATCTATTTCTTGGATTTTAGATTCAGGTGCTCTGAGCACATGACTTCTGATTTGCAGCTTCTATTTAATGTCAAACTCCTTCCTAAGATAGTCTATGTAAAGCTCCCTAATTCTGCTAAAGTGTTGGTTTATCAGGCAGGATCGGTAACCATTCTACCTGGCTTTACTCTTCATCATGTTTTGTTTGTGCCATGTTTTAATTATAACTTACTGTCAGTACACAAGTTGTGTTTGCAATTTTATTCACTTCTCATTTTCTCCTCTTTTGGTGCAACATTGCAGGCCCCTTCACTGAAGAGGCCAGTGGTGCTTGATAAAGTCACTAGAGGGATCTATGTCTTCAATTCAGTCCTCTCAAGCCAAGTTGGTCCAGTCAAGTTTCTCAATCCTAGAGTAGTTATGTCTAATTTAATCAAGGCTTTTAGCCATTCTGTTTGTAGTCAAAAGTCTAGTAGAGCAGTTTCCAATTCTAGCACATGTTCAGCATCTATTTCCAAAGATGTAAGTTTATGGCATAATAGACTGGGACATATGCCCTTTTCTAATATGAAATGCATCTCTTCTATTTCTTATTCTTCTTCTCCTTCTAATTTTCAGCCTTGTGATATTTGTGCTAAAGCTAGGCAAGTCAAATTACCTTTCCCCTCTAGTTCTATAACAACTAAACAGATTTTTGATCTTATTCATTGTGAGCACGTGATTTTTGCCCTAAGCAATAATTCCCAAAATTTCAAACAAAATAATTTCTCTAGTACTTTATAAATTTGTGTGAATTTTGTGGCATTCTTTGGTAATTGTTGCATTTTTATTTGTGCATTTTAATCCATATGAATATAACAAAAATATGCATTTTTGCATTTAGGATTTAATTTCATATTTTAGTATTAATTTGTTTTAGAACAAAATGATAAGAAAATAACAAAAGGGTCCATTTTGCATTTTTTGGTATTAGTTTGCATTTCTCTTTAGGAATTAATTAGGAAAAATAATTGTTAGAGTCAATTTGTTTTTAGTTTTATTTTAGCATTTTATAAAATCAGAAAATAAATAAATACAAAAATATAAAATAAAATACAAAAAGCAAAATAAAGAGAATACAAAGAAAACAAATTGGTCTCAATAAAATGCCCAAATTGGGCCAAAAGTGGTTCAGCCCACCCCAAAAAACCCCTCAAAACCGGACCAGACCACTGGCCCAAATGCCCTGCCCGGTCCAATTGCCCCATACTCAAAACGACGTCGTTTTGACGTCGTTTAATCACGACCGTTCATCCCATCTAATCCAATGGCCACGATTGATCCTTCAATCTAAATAAAATTGTCCGAAAATCATACAAAAAACCAAAACACAACCCGTCTTCCTCGTACTCCCTGTAACGCCGGCGTTGCCCCGCCGTCCTCCTCCCATCTCCGCCGTCCTCCGCCCTAGCGCCGCCGGCCGGAAATCGTCGCCGGCGGCGGCGATGCTCCGATGGCCACCAAAATTACACCCTAGAACCACCGTTCTCTCCTCTTTCCAACCCCCATCTTAGTTTGTCTCGAATCCCATCCAATCGCCTCGAATATTAGATCTAAACTCTTCCGGCCAAGTCACAAACTCACCCAAACCGGCCCAAATTCATACTATATGCTCCTCAGCCCTCCCTCATCATCAATTCATACCTAGAAACCCTTGAATCTGCCGGAACATTATAAATTCTAAATCCCAATTCCGGCAGAACCCTAACTCAGAAATCTTGGGGATTTTGGACCGTAATTTCCCTGATTACGTGTTTTCTTTTGAAAACACACGATTAGGGATGTTACGTGTCAAGAATCCTGGAGGATTCAAACAACAATGGTTGACCGGTAAGTTTTCCTTAGGCGTTCTTAGTGTTCTTTTTGATCAATTAATTGTTTTAATCAATTTAAGTATAGTTTTATTTGATTGCCATTCTTCTGTGCTATTTGGGTTCGTCCCGGGTCACAATAGTCAATCACTCGAGTTAATCCATCTTAGTTCAGTTAAGTTTAAGTTTAGGTTTTAGTTTAATTGTTGTTTTTGTGATTATTAGCTTTTAATTCAGTAGATATCACTTCAATTTTCTGATTTAGTATAAGGGATGATTAAATTCTGTTTCTAATATTGCTAGCTTAATTGTCATTCATGGTTAAATCTGTTAGTTTAGTATAATTGTGTTCATTTCCGTTAATATTTTTAGTTTAGTATAATCATTTCAGTTAGTCTAGTTGTTTGGATATAGCTGATTAACTCTTAATTTGGTAGTTAATTAACCATGGTCAGTTAGAAGGGTTAGAATAGTTAGCATGGTTAACAATTTCAGGGATAAAAAGGGGGCTGAGGCTTAGTTAAGCTAGGCAGTAATTTCAGGTTGAATTCAAGGGTAGTTCAGATATTTAGGATTGGTTAGCACATGGTAGTTGGAACTAGAATCTTCTAGGACCTTCCAAAGTAGGGCTTTAGTGTAAGGTTCAGTAATTTTAGTGTGTTAACTTGAGAAACAAGTCAGTAAAGAGAGGACTAAGCTGAAAATAAAATAGGGACTAAGAGGAAAATAGAAAATTGGGGGCTGCCCTCATCTTTGCCTATAAAAGGCAGCCTTTAGTGCCTTGAATAACAAGTTTTTGAACCTCACAATCCCCCCAAAACACTAGGCTATAGTTTCCAGAATCCAAATTTGAATTCCCAGATTCAAATTCTAGATCTGAAATTTTGAAGTCTCTTTTCCATCCTAAAATCTCAAAAAAAAAATATACAAAAGCTACAGAAAATTCAAAAAAAAACGTACAGTTCCATTCATTTCTTAGGTTGATTTCAAGTTTAGTGGTTGATGTGCATTTCTTAGCTCAAATTCTGATAGCTGAGGTTCAGAATCATTCCTGGTTTGATTTCGATTGAGTTTTGAATTCAGACAAGTCAGTTTTGGGTCAGTTTAGTGGGTTTTTGATTGCTGAAATGTTCCTGGGTGTTTGAGAAGTTATTTTGATTCGAAATTGCTCTTGATGTTGCTGCGTTGATTGATCCATTGTTGGATTTCTGAAATTGTTCCTGAATTGCTGTTGAGTCCTGCTATTGCTGCTGACTCCTCTCATTTCCTATTCCTTTCTAATTCCAGGTACATATTTGAACCATGTATTGATGTAGCTTTGATGTTGAAATGCTGAAATGAAATGCATCATCCATTGGCCTCCTGAAATCCATGTGTTCAAGCTGCCATAATGAAATAGATAATAGATGATTTGTATTTGTTTAGGTCTTCTTTTGATCTGCATTTACATTGTATAACTGGACTGAAACTGGGCTGTATTGGACATATATTGGATAAGTGAGCTACGGGCTTGTGTTCGCTCGTTTGAACTGTTAGTATCGTGTTCGTGTTTAGTATAATAATATCGGGTGCTAGCTAATTCATAAGGTTAAGAATGACGCGAATTAGGACTGGTTTTCTGGAAATGCTGTTTGGATAATCGTTGATAGTTGTAGGTTAGTTGATTTAATTTTAAAGGTAACATTACTCAGAAATCCAGGCTGAATCGCTGTCTATTAATTGAAATTTAAGTTGGCATATATAATCCTACAAGCATGAAGTCCAATTGATTCTTTGGTTTTAGTCTATTCACATTTGGTTGACATTGCAATGTGTAGAGGTTCACTTAAAAGGAACGAATTAACATGATAAGATAGGCTGCAACATTGTTCGAAATAGCCATTGTTGTT